ACCTCCCCAATTGGCCCTGCTCTGAGCCCGACCAGGGGCCGCACCTAGGGATTAGGCCTGCCCTCTGCCATCTGGGAGCAGGCCTAAGCCAGCAGGGCATTATCTCCCGAGGGGTCCCAGACTGCGAGAGGGCACTGGCCAGGCTGAGGGAACCCCCTTCCCCCCTGGTGCACAAATTTTTGTGCACCAGGCCTCTAGTATATATATAAAAGCCTAATATGCAAATTGTCCCTTTAGGAGACTGGGAGTTCGATCACTCGCTATGACATGTGCCCACCACCAGGGGGCGGTGAAGAATGAAGGGAGGCCCCAGCCTGCAGCTGGCAGCCAGCAGCCAGCAGCCAGGGGAGGATGGCCCCAGCCAGCAGCAGGAAGGCCCTGATCAGCCCTGGTCACCAGCCAGGCCTAGGGATCCTACCTGTGTAGGAATTACATGCACCGGGCCTCTAGTATTTGATAATATTGTAGACCCATGACCATTGAACTCACAAACACGAGTGCTGTAGCTTGTGCCTGAACGGAGCTGACAGGACTTTTCCCATAAGGCACGCCACAGCCACAGCCTGTGTGCACATAGGAACACCAGACAGCCCTGCAGAGTGACACTTGGGGGTCCTTTTAAACAGAAAAACCGCCACTAACAACTACAAAGATCCACAAAAATGTTTAAAGCTAGTCATTAAGTAAACCATCAAAAGGATTCGTGGTTATGAGAGATGAAATAAAAGTCAGACAGAGACACTGTGGGCAAAGCCAGTTCCAGAATGAGACCCGAACTGGCAGTCACAGGGCAGGTGTGCAGTGTCAGGAGCTGATTGGTATCGGATTTTTCCTCCTTTCACGTGGAAACACTTAAGTCAGTGTTTCTCAACCTGTGGGTTGCGACCCCTTTGGGGGTCGAACGACCCTTTCACGGGGTCACCTAAGACCATCAGAAAACACACATATAATTACATATTGTTTTTGTGATTAATCACTATGCTTTCATTATGTTCAATTTGTAACAATGAAAATACATCCTGCATATCAGATATTTACATGACGATTAATAACTAGCAACATTACAGTTATGAAGTAGCAACGAAAATTATTTTATGGTTGGGGGTCAGCACAACATGAGGAACTGTATTAAAGGGTCGCGGCATTAGGAAGGTTGAGAGCCACTGGCTTAAGTATTTGCAGTTGGCTGGAGGGTGCTCGCCTGGGGGCTCTGCATTGCTGGCTGCTCTGCGTGCGTGTGCACAGGGCCAGGAAGAGGCAGGTGCTGATGTCAGGATGACGAACACACGTTAGTGCTCGGCGAGTGTGCAAGGACAGAACCCAGGAGTGGTGAGGGTCACCTGCATGTATGGATCCACAGACGCACGCACACGTCTTATTGCGTAATTTTTTTCTTATATAACCTTGACCTAGAAATGTGAAATTTATATATTAAAAGATTACTATCTGAAACGCACCCACGTAAAGTATGTTTTCTAGGCACCCATTCAGCACGGACAGATGAAACCATGTAAATACTGAGTTACCATCTGTCCCTGCGTCAGGAAAAATGGCTAGACTTTCACACAACTGGAGGGCCCGAGATGGCGCTAAAACAGGCTGTGGATTCGCAGGAATTGCTCGTGGGAAACTGGGACCAGCCCAGACAGGCAGCAACCCTTCCTGCAGCTGACAGGCGGGGAGGGACCAGCTGGCAGCCAGCGGCAGGAGACCTGCCACACACACGAGGGCACCGTGGGCAGAGCCAGTTCCAGAGGGAGACCGAGCTGAACGTCGCAGGGCAGGTGTGCAATGTCAGGAGCTGATTGGTATCGGATTTTTTCCCCTTTCACACAGAAAGGCTGAAGTACAGTGGGGCTTTGACTTACGAGTGTCCCGACTAACGAGTTTTTTGAGATACCAGCTGTCTCTCGGCCAATTTTTTGCATTGAGTTGACAGAGTAATTTGAGTTAACGAGCTCCTTAACGAGCTCGGTCTCGGAACGAATTATACTCGTAAGTCAAGGCCCCGCTGTAGTTGCAGTGACTAGGTCACAGCGATGGCGAACCTTTTGAGCTCGGCGTGTCAGCATTTTGAAAAACCCTAACTTAACTCTGGTGCCGTGTCACATAGAGAAATTTTTTGATCTTTGCAACCACAGTAAAACAAAGACTTCTATTTTAGATATTTATTTTAGATATTTATTTTATATATTTAAATGCCATTTAACAAAGAAAAATCAACCAAAAAAATGAGTTCGCATGTCACCTCTGACACATGTGTCATAGGTTCGCCATCACTGGACTAGGAGAAAGAATTTATAAGTGGGTGATTCTCCCAAATAGGAAGGTACTGTGTGAGACAAATTCTCATTAAGAAAATCCACTCTTGCCCTGGCTGGTTTGGCTCAGTGGATAGAGCGTCGGCCCGTGGACCGAAGAGTCCCGGGTTCGATTCCGGTCAAGGGCATGTACCTTGGTTGCAGGCTCCTCCCCGGCCCGGGCCCTGGTCTGGGTGCATGCAGAAGGCAACCAATTGATTTGTTTCTCTCACATTGATGTTTCTCTCTGTCTTTCCCACTCTCCCTAAAAGATCATGGGAAAGTGTCCTCAGGGGAGGATTAACAACAACAACAAAAAACACAGAAAAAGAAAACCCACTCCTGGTTGGAATGAAACCCATCCAACTGGAGGGCCATAAGTCCTTACACTTAACTGGGTCTGAAACACTGTTCTGTGAATCCCCCTCCTAAGAATCTGGATCCTACAGTTACGTGGGGGAAAGACGAGCATCCTGATTAGCTCCTTCCTACAGCCTATATTTTGACCCCAGAAACCTGAGAACTCGGGAAAACGGGGTCAAGCCTTATCCCCTCGGAGGATGGCTGCTATTACTCCCACAGAGAAATGAATTCAAATAAATTCTAAAACCTTCTTCAGCTTTATGATCAGTTGGTTCTGTATCCATATCCAGGGGTCAGCTTGCCCCGGTCTTGCTTTTGAGGTTGGTGAGGTTCCACAACGCTCACATTCTAGGAACTTGGCTGGCTCTCACGGTAATGTGAGTGTATTGCATCTGCATGATATACACGCTAGTGCCTTTAAAACACCCGCCTACGCCCTGCGGTTCAGTGGGTGGGAGCGCTGTCCTGGGCATCACAGGGTTCTGGGTTCGATTCCCCGCCAGGCCACATGCCCAGGTTGGGAGGTTGATCCCTGGTCAGGGTGCATGAGGGAGGCAACCGATTGGAGTTTCTCTCTCTAAAACCAATTTAAAAAACAACAAGACACCAAAAAACATGTCCTCATGTGAGGATTAAAAATAATAAAGATAATTACCTAAAATGGGGAAGTGACCTGGTTCCACCATCACTGATAAGAATCCCCCCGAATATCTTGGGGCTGGCCCTCATTGATAAGGTGCAGAACTTGGAGTCCTGACTTGTGTGGAAGCACCAAGTCCGCCCCAGGTGAGTAAGGTGGAGAGGTGAGGCATAGCGTGCTTTTCGACAGACAGCGGAGGTGAACATGACTACGGATTTTTTCTAGCGTAGGTTCTGAACTGGTTCTGAATAGTTCTGGGGGCTCTAAGGCAATGCTGGACCCTGGCAGCGCTGCCGACAAGAGAACTATTTGGGCCACAGAAGTTTGCAGACATAGCTACCTCCTCTCTGACACTACTGTGCTTCCGTTCCAATCCAACAGCCGTGACTCAGGTTTCCGCCCTTCCTTCCAGATGTGGCTGAAGCCCTGCCGGAGGACAGACATCCCCAAACGACCCAGCTATGTGGCGCCGCTGTACAAGACGAGCGAGCGGAGGGGGACGCTGTCCACCACGGGCCATTCCACGAACTTCGTCATCGCCATGACGCTGCCCTCCGACCACCCGAAGGAGCACTGGATCGGGCGTGGCGTGGCCCTGCTGTGCCAGCTCAACGCCTAGCTGGACACCCGGCCCTGCCCCTCTCCTTACGTGATCGAGCAGAAGTATATTTTCCTTTTTAAACAATCTAGTTAGTGTTGATCTGTCTAAAGTTACACTTAATTATAAGCCTGTTAATGTGCAAATGCAGACTTTGTTTACGATGATTCACCTTGGGCGTAAGGAAATGTCCTCGAATAAAGATTAAAGACAGCACGCGGGCATTTTGCTCTTTTTTAATGTCTTTATTTTGGGAGTTCCACAGGCATTAGGAACGTACATAAAATGACACACCACTGTTGACCATGAAAAAAACAGCATTGGATCATTTCAGCTTTATAAATTTTAAAAAAATGATTCAGTTATAACAACAACAACAACAAAAAGTGTAGATATTTTAGCAAGTATCACCTTGCAGGACCATCATCACATTTAAGCCGCTGACTCATTGTTAACGGGAAACTTCACACCGCACTGGTTACTAGAGTTCTTCTAAGCATCATCACAGCGGATGGAACGCAATGCGAGACACACCGGATTTCATACGACGTCACACGGTGACAGCATCGTACGGGCAACAGCAGTGCCCTCCAACAAACGCCTTAAAGCAGACTGGCCACGCTCAATGGAATGTTGGAGCCAAACAGAAATGTAGTGGAATTCAGATTGTCTGTAAGACTTGAAATTGTGCATCAGAATGAAAACTAAACACTGGTGGAACCCTAACAAAGTACTAGCAGCCACGGTTCCAGCTCTCCTCAAAGGTTAAAAAGACCTAGCAAATAAAGATAACACCGCGTTTGAGAGAATATGACTTCGTCTACTTCAGCACAACCTATTTGCTTTACGCCGGGCGTTTCGGTCGGGAGCATAAGGCAGCTGCTGCTCTCCGTAAACGTTTTTGAGATAAGCAGATCTAACAGTGCTGGAGTGCAGAAGCTGCCTGGGTACAGAAACCCAACAGTGAACTATAAACTTGGCGTGGTTCAGAAAGCAAGGTACTTGAATCACTTGAACTTGGCAGTACTAAGTAAAATATCAGCACCTTTTAGCTCAGTTGCTTGAAGGGCCAAGCAATGAGATGAGGACTGCCCTAATTCAGTGCCCACTGCTGAAAAGAATCCATGTAGAAAACTACTCGCTACCAGAGACCGGGGAGGCGGCCAGAAGTCACTGCGCATTCAGGCCTCCAGGAGGAACCCCCTCTCCCCTCCCCCCACCCCACTCCCTCGCGGGCAGCAGCTCCGCTGACACCGGGCGCCTGCGCTGCTCTGTTTTGGTGTCTGTTGTAAAGTTCAGGAGGAAAGAAATGGGGGGAGGAGGACCGAGTGACTGTTCTATGGAACGGAAAGAGTTTGGCTCTTCAGTATTTGAACAGTAAGAGATTTAGAGCTACTACATGCGGAGCCAAGCAGATGAAAAGAAAGCTGCCTGCCCAGAGTTAAGCTCAGCTGAACGGGAATAAATGAGGACCATGTGGCACAGGGTGGAACCATGCGTCTGGCTGTGCTACAAATTATTCGGTCAAAGTTCCGAAGACACAGCTTGCACTCTCCCAAGTCGATCACAAAGCACGGCAGAACAGGGCGCCTGCAAGAGACCGGTCCCGATCAGGCACCAACAGCACATCTTGGCACAAAATGATCAAGTGACTTCAGCTGAGTTATTTAAATATATCGTCTAAGTCACGTGGCACTATGATAGCCACAGTATCACTGGGGATTACCCTCATAACCGATTTTTGTTTTGTTCTTTTAACACTCCATGTATGGAATATGGACATGGTACATTTGGATTTACTGTCGGCGACAGCATGGTCCCAATGCCATCTGGTAAAGCGATATGTACATTTAGAACTTAGACTTCTCAAATAACTAGTTAGTACTGTTAAAGTAGGAAAACTGAATATTTAGACCATGTTTGGATTCTTCACTTCTCTGAAATTTTCTAGAGGATTACAATTTTAATAATAAAAAACATTTTACCACATGCTCCGACCTCCTAACCCACCCTCTTCCCCCCCCAAAAAAACCCCAAAATTAAAAAACAAAACAAAAACACCCAAATACCAAGTATAATAATTAATAATACAGAGAACCATTATGAATCTTCCATTAAACTGAAGCTCACACAAACATACAATCACACATTTCAGTAGTTTAGGCTGGGGGTTTAAACACTATGTAAATATATACAAAAATAGTAACTCTAGATTCAAGAATAAGGACTTTTCCCAATGCTAAATCCACACCCTACTGTGGCCTGAGCTCTCCTCTGGGCCCTAGAATCTACGTATGCAATCTCAAAGTCAGTTGATCCCTGTTACCACATATATGTATGTAGCTGAATTAAAAGACACTACAAGTCATTTTTAGCACAAAGAAAAGTCTGTTCAAAGTCCATTTAAAATATTTTAAAGTTTAAGTGATTTTTTTTGGTTCAATTTCTATTTCTGCATAGCCACAGAAGTTTCTACTAATAAAGAGACTACTTTAGTGTTTTATATGATTATTTTGTGGAAGTCTTAATCCTATACCAACGCTGTTTCATGGAGTCCCATTTTCTCCTTTCTCTATCACAAGCTTTACATATTGTAAAAAGACCCCTCAGTACAGAGCACCAGTCTCGAGTCAGCTCAAATCTCGGAACGTGTAAGCGGTGCCAGCCAGTGACCTCTGTTGGAGCCACGCACACACAGTACAAGGACAGGTGCCAAGCTGCACGGTGGCCTTCCTGTAATCAACAGTGGTCACCGGAATGGTCAGAACTGGAAGTCAAACACAATTTTGTCTTCATAGAGGGCGATCACCAGCATGATGGCAAATCCGAACAGCAGCCCCAAGTTCTGCAGCACGAACTGCCCCACGGGGCAAAAGCCATGTTCTTCGTTGTCACCGTCACCATGCAACATTTCCGGAAGCTGAGACAAAATAGATATTTACCAGAAATTCTGTAAATAATCTGCTCAAATATTTTTTTTTTACATTGTCCTACTTAAGAACACTAATGACTAAAGCACAGCTACAGACAAAACAGTGATTGTATTGAACACAATGCTAATAACTAACGCATTTTCATCAAACTCTGAGTGACTGGAAGAGGCAGCATGTGCTTCCCGGGGTGGGGGATGGGGTGGAGGTGGGAGGGAATGGAAATGCGCAGGAGGATGGAGCGCCCTGAAGGGCCAAGAACTCCGGAGCTCTTACACACATCCGCGGAAAGGATGGAAGCACACCAGCGGCCTGGTCTAAACCAGGGGTCCTCAGACTACGGCCCGCGGGCCACACGCAAACACAAATATTACATTTGTTCCCGTTTCGTTTTTTACTTCAAAATAAGGTATGTGCAGCGTGCATAGGAATTTGTTCATAGTTTTTTTTTAAACTATAGTCCGGCCCGCTAACGGTCTGAGGGACAGTGAACTGGCCCCCTGTTTAAAAAGTTTGAGGACCCCTGGTCTAACCGTTGAAGGGTCCCTGAAAAAGATCACATAGCTGGTGTGTTGGTAGAGTGTTGTGGACGAGGCAGGGGCAAAAGCAGGGAGAACAACTAAAAGGTGATGGTGGCCTGAATGAGAGAGAGCAGTAGAGCAGAGGTGGCAGGTGGCAGGTGGCGCCCTCAGGGCTAAAGCTCACACAAACGTAAATTCCTTGGAATATAATTTTCTGCAGAGGACTGGCTTACCTCAGAGGTACAGTCTTTCTTTCTTGTTTGCCATTTTCTTAACCATAAAACACCTCCATCCCCATATTACCCAGCCTTCAAAGTAGTATGATCATCCTGTAATTATATCTCTAGATACTACTGATTACTTTGAAGAGTAACTTTGACCTTTGGTCAAAAACCTTCAACATCTCAACTGGTTTGCAAAGAAGGAACGTTCCTACTTACACATCTTTCCCTCACAGATTACTGAGGCTATCACATGTCTTTAAAATGGGTTGTATGTTTTGAAGAATTAGTCTTTCAAACCATATCCAAAGATTTCTCTCACTTTTCAAAGTCGTGTTCTATTTACAGGTTGAGTGGAACAACAGACACGGAAAACCCCTCACCATGTCCACCAAGGCCACGTAGAGGAACATGCCGGCAGTGACGGCGAAGATCCAGAGGGTGATGTTGTTGGCGTACTGCCCCACCGCGGTGCCGATGAACATGCCGATGTAAGCCATCATGGCCGAGAGGAGGTTGTACACGATCGCCTGCTTCACAGTCATGCCTGCTTTCAGGAGGACTGCAAAGTCACCTGCAAGGAAGACAGAATGGGGGAGTTCTAAAACCACAAGAAATTACACACAAATTTAGGAAAACATCCATAAAAGACAAATGAAGAATGACCTAAAAAGAGTACCTTTAGTAATGGGACTCTTAATATGAGAATTTATTTTTTACTCATGAAATTAAACCTTTATAACACGCAAAAACTTGAGTGAATCTCAAAGGCATGATGCTGAAAGACAGTATGACAGGTTATATATGAATCCATTGATATGACAGTCTATAAAAGATAAAACTACAGTGATGGAGAACATTCCAGGCCACCAGGGAGCAGGGGTGAGAAAGGGGTGTGACTATACAGGGAGAGCATGAGGGGGTTTGTGTGAATGAATCAAAATTGCAACTATGTTTTTGGTCACATCAACCAAATCAAAATGTTTTTTCTGGTGTGCCACAGTATTTTAGTAGTTAGCTTATGTGTGCCATGAGATGAAAAAGGTTGAAAATCGCTGGCTTAGAGAGAAGAGCAAAATTCTGTATGAAATGTCTTGGAGCTAAAAAGTCAAAGTTAATAATTTTACTAACTATAATCGAGTTTTTTTAGTTACTAAATATACAAACATTCATTTAATTGTTGAACACTTTATACATGCAAAGTAATATGTAGAATTCTGGGGCTTGTTTGTTTCTCTTAAGGGATCGTACATGACTGAAAATGCATGATCTGTTAATGAAGTTAACAAAGAAATTAGTGCAAGCCATTGTTTTTCCATGTTCCAAGAAACTGCTGCAAACCACATACCTGCAACATTACTGGGGGAAATTAAGATAATACACCTCAGAAGATTAGTATCTACCAATGGCTTCAAAATTGCGATTCTCCAGTTTTCCATCTAATGTTATCTCCCCATCTCTCCACTGATCCTGAACACTCCATGCTTCCGGGTGAGACCTGGAGTCACCTCAGCTTTCACCTCCTCCTCTCCCCGTGTGTCATT